AGTGAAGATAAGATGGAAAGAAAATATAAAACACAACACGGATAGTCAAGAAAGCCTTCCAGATGAACAGTAAACTAACTGTGCGCGGCATCACGTGGTGAACAGTAACAAACCGGTTTCAATCTGGATTAATGTGAATTGGCCGACACGAGATGAACAGTGACAATTGGGATCCGCTCTTTTATAGGAAGTAGGACAATCACAAATTATGGAACATGTAATAACAATGAAATTTGTAATTAAATTGTTCTAATGTAAAGATCATCATGCTATATAGGTCATGCTTTAGGACTAAACATGCAATTTTCTCATTATTTTTCAATTACACTTTTTTCGATTTAAAAAAAAAACAATAAACCTATTTGTACAAAGTTGAGTTACAAAAGTTGGGTTACAAAGTGTGATGGCAAAATTCAGACCATTGATTTCAAATGATTTTAAAATTTGTTTTAAAAATGATTGATGTAAATATTATTTTGTCAACCAACTGTGTAATCTAACTTTGTCTGCGTCGCAAAATAAAAATAAAAATAAAAATTCCTACAACAGTACGGGAACCGACGAGGTTTTAGAAGGGTTTAAGGTCGGTATTTCAAGAATTCCCATTTCAGTGCAAATCGAACTCTCCCATTTGCTAAGATCGATTTCATGAATTATTACAACTCGTTGAACCAATCGTTTGATCACCAATTATCGAACTCCATTCAATTTATTTCTGATTATTCCAATATTATTACTATCATTGTTCCCTGTTTCAAGATTTTCTGGAAACAATTTGATGTCCAGCTGCAAAACGCCGCTTTCTTTGAGCATCAAAATTGACCAGCCAAAAATTCCACTGGGTAAATCTGCTGCTTTTGTTCTAAACCTACCCAAGAATTCACCAGTTATGTTGAGAAAAATTGTTAAACAAGCTACTTCAAAATCCCGAACAAAGCTTTCTCTCAACCCCAAATCCTTTTCTCGCACCTGCAGCTTTCTTGGATTCTCCCAAGATTCAACTTGTCCTGAGAAATTCAAGTGTAGACCCCTGTTTGAGCTTAATTCTACCTCCAATTTTAGTTACGCTGAAATGGGTCTTCGGAAATTTGGCGAAGTTTTTACGCGGGACGAAGTTGTGGGCAGACCCATTTTGAGCGGTGTGAGAAGCCAAGTCAATGCTTATGGATTGGGCCCAAAAAGTTATGCCTCTGTAGCCGAGGCTGTAGCAGTATCACCCACTGATGTGGAGGAAGATTATAATGATTATAATGTTTCTGTGGCTGACGAGGTTCAAGAATTGTTATCTGAGGTGAAAAAAGAGGACAGGAAACAGTATTGTAAGCGATGGAGGCAGCAGAGCGTTCATGGAATGGGGAAACAGAAGTACCAAGCGCTTAGGAGGAGGCAGGCTAGGATCGAGACTGAAGCATGGGAGCAAGCGGCTAAAGAGTATAAGGAGCTTTTAATGGATATGTGTGAGAAGAAATTGGCTCCCAATTTGCCTTATATGAAGTCTTTATTTTTGGGATGGTTTGGGCCATTGTGCGAGAAGATTGCTGCAGAGCAGGAGTTGATTCGGAAAGGGAAGAGTAAGGCGGGCTATGCCAAGTACTTTGATCACTTGCCAGCTGACATGATGTCTATTATCACCATGCATAAGCTCATGGGATTGTTGATGACTGGAGGTGAGCATGGGTGTGCAAGGGTAGTGCAGGCTGCTTGCATGATAGGCGATGCAATTGAGCAAGAGGTTTGTGAGCTTTATTTGAAAGGCAATATAGTTGGAACATTTTATGACCTAATTATAATTGCCAATGGCAAAGACCACAGGTTTAGACTCCAAGGTTCACGTTTTTGGAAAATCATTCCTAATTTTTGTTGCGAACTTGCTTGAACTCACTATTTAATACTTAATAATAAAATAAGGACATCAAATTATTATTGGTGAGTGGTAGCCTTTTCAGTGGTTACCTCAGTGTCAACAAGCTAGATTGGGTTCTGAATATGTGAGTGTCGTTGTGAAGAGAGCATGTTACATGAAATCTAATCATTCTTGGCACTTGAAGTAGATTGGATGAGTCTGGGTATATTTGAGATGGTTTCCAATAGTTCTTGAATCATAAAGACTTGAACTTTTTCTCTGACGTGCTGGACATTTTGGATTCATCGTAGGATTAAATTAAAGTAGTAGGTAGGAAATTAGTAGTGTTAAACCAGAGAAGAATCTGCTTGTATTTAGGAGATCCTGATATCGATTAAAAGTGTGTGCTGCTTGCCCGGAGTGTGTTTGGGTTTGGAACATTGCCAAGTATCAGGAAATGGATGCAATGAGCTTGATTTAAGGAACAATGTTGAGATTTGCCTATTTTTAAAATTAGAAAGGATGTAGTGCCTTTTTGGGGATATGGGGTAATATGCTTTTATCCATTTCAGAAACCTTTGTGGTTGGTTGACTGTAATGATGATGGCTCTTTGTATTACTTTCTTAACAATTTCTGTCATTGGTCAGGTTAGAATTCATAAATTCTTGAAGAAAACAGAGAGGCAAAAAGTTAAAGAGACAAAACAGGAAGGTGGTGGATCTGATGGCAATACCCAAGAACAAGAAAAATTACGAAAGTCGGTTAATAATTTGATGAAAAAACAAAAGCTGCGAGCAGTGAGGCAACTAGTTAAAGGACAGGATGACTCAAAACCATGGGGGACTGATGCTAAAGCAAAGGTCTGACCTAACTCTTGTACTGAATGCATTAAGCCCCTGTTTGATGGCCCTTATTTTGAGAAAATGGAGTTTTAAATAGTGATTTTTTTGGAAAATGTGTTGTTAAAAAGTAGGGAAAAGTTTTGGGCTTACGTGCAAATTATTTTATTGTGTAAATGTGTTGTTAAAAAGTTTTGAAATAATGGTTGTCAAACAGGGGCTAAGTTTTCTGTTTTCTAACAAACTAAATATGCAGTTATTTTGACTCCAGGTTGGCAGCCGACTCATTGAATTGCTGCTTCAAACAGCCTATATACAGCCTCCAGTCGATCAGTTAGCAGACAGTCCACCTGATATTCGACCTGCATTTATACACGCTTGTATAACTGTACGGAAAGAAACAAAGTAAGAGGGTGTTTGACACCCATTTTTTGGAGAATAGAATTTTTAAAATAGCGATTGATGGGAGAATGTGTGGTGAAAATACTATAGCTTTGTGTGTAATATTATTTTATTGAGAGAATGTGTGGTTGAAATGAAGAAAGAGAAAAAAAAATGAGAATGAGAATGAGATGAGAATGGGTGCCAAACAGGGGCTAAGTTTTTTTTTAATTCTTCTCTTTTAAGCAAGCTTTCTTTCTGTTGCTTCAGTCTGTAATGGTGCTTAATAGCTTCTCTTTGTACAGAAACTTTAGCAGAAGATATGGTGTTATCCAATGTGACCCACTTATTATCAAAGGCCTTGAAAGAACTGTAAGCCCATTTATTTCTTCCCGTTCTTCCCTGGAATAATCAGATATCATCATTTTGAAATAACACCATTATTAAGGCATTACATGGAAATTTATTTTATTTAAGTTAGTGTGTTCTGAGAGAATTTATAACTACAGAATCTTTTGATGAACTCCAGTTTATATCTTGAAGTTAATAAAATCTTTCTTTTTTTTTTTTTTTTTTTGCATGTTAACTTTTTATCGTCCCATGTGTAAATTGATCTCTACAAGTTAATATTTTGTTTACAGGCCAGGCACATGGTCATCCCCTATATGCCAATGTTAGTGCCTCCAGTCAAGTGGACCGGGTATGTTATCTGATTTTTCTAATTTGAAATGTCATTTTAAAAGTATGATTTTTGATCAATCATCTTTAATTGGTATATTGTGTGACTTCTATTAATACTAAAATGCTCAAGAAATGTTGGACATGACGCGTACTTCAAATGGATGGACTTGAAATTAGGACTATAGTCTGCTGTCCTGTAGGAGTGTTGTTCTCTTTCGCCTAGGTTAGATTAGGTTACCACTTCAACAATAAAAACGGTATTGTTTCCCCTAGCTAATTTTACGTATTAAAATTCTAATATGACAGTTTCCAACAAAAGCATGAGCGCAGTTTCATATGAAAAGAATGCATTTTTTCTGCACATTTATTTTTAGTGTGGGTAGTTATTGGATTCTTTATTGTCTTTCAACTTTTGTTACTTTGGTTTTACATGCATGACATGTACCAAATACTTGATATCTGATGTGTATTGGCACCTGTCTGGTATTCTGCATTAGTTGCAAGTTTAGGAGCATGTCAAAGATGTTTAAGTAGTTCTATAACTATTTCAAATAAATTGGACCACCCATTTTGACAGTTTGTATTGAATTGAACATCATTTTTGCTAAAGAAAATTAGAAATAAGTCAAATAAGTATATACCTTACACTTTTCCTTAGATGGGTAAGTATACCTTACATTTTTCCTTAGATGTGTATTTCATAATTAGAAATTGAATCTGAAACTGCACCATCTGCTCCAACTTTCATATCCTAATTCAAAGTAATGTAGATATTCCAGTATTTCTTGAGATATATACATTTGTTTACTACAATAGATATTAATTGCCATAGGTTAACTTTCTGACGACTTGCCTCTGTTGATGTCCCTGAATTTTAAAACTTTGTGTATGTTTGGGAAAAATTATAAATTCCTTATAGTTTGAAGTTAAAGTCAAAACATTAATTTTAATTGCACATTCAAAACTACTATTTACTTATTATCCATACATTTCGTGGAATCCATTACTCCTCTATAATCCAATTATAATTTCTACCAAACAATCACTTTATCACCTTCTGTTTCTTTCATGGGGGTTGTATTGGAATGAAACTTTTTAGGGTTAAAATTTCTGTTGACTTCTAATAATGCGTGAGAATTTTTTTTTTCCTACATCTCTTATTTTATTGTATTACTAGTGGGAGCCTTTTTGAACACTCCATTTGTAAAGATGCGAGATCCACAATTTGAACGGTAAAGGGCATTATGGGGAAAAAATTAATTTCTAAACATGGGGAATTGTGAGAGGTCTTACTTATAGAACATCCAGCACGAACACAGTTCTAGATTTTGAGAAGTTTTCATGCTTTTAATGCAGGAAGTTCTATTAGCTTATTGGTTCCTAAGAAATAAGAATTGTTGTCCAATTTAAACTCCTTTGAAGGGTTCCGAGAGCTGATTGAATGTTTTTAAGTCAGTAGGTGAATGCTACTTCTGGTGTGTAGTTCTGATAAGTATATTCTTTTCTTCTGCAGTTATGACAGGGGTGCACACTTATATTTGCCTTCATATGTCATGCGCACACATGGAGCAAGACAACAAAGTGAAGCAGTTAAGAGGGCCCCTAGGAAACAGTTAGAACCGGTCTTTGAGGTTTGGGACTCATTTTGTCATTTTTGGTTTAGCCCTTGTTTGGTTCCCATTATTTCCTAAATACATTTTCTTCTCTCTTATTTTCAACCTCACATTCTTTAATAAAATAATATTACACGCAAATCCAAAACTTTTCCTTATTTTTTAACCACAGATTCTCCATCAAAATTCTATTTCAAAATACATTTTGAGCAAAAAAATGGGGCTCAAACAAGCTCTTACTTTAAAAGTGGTTGTGTGGTGACTGTGATATGTGAAATTTATATTTCTCTTTTCTTGTTCAGGCTTTGGATACCCTTGGAAGCACCAAATGGAGAGTGAATAAGAGAGTTCTTGGGGTCATTGACCGAATATGGGCTAGTGGAGGTCGCCTTGGGGACTTGGTTGACCGGAATGATGTATGTTACTCTGCATCTCCATTTTTTCCGTTCAAAAAAATATTATAGTTTTCAATTCGTTTATGCAAAATAAGTCTTGCATACCTCTTGTTTCATGCAGATCCATTTGCCAGAGCAGCCAGATACAGAAGATGAAGCATTACTCAAGAAATGGAAGTGGAAAGTTAAATCTATCAAGAAAGAGAACAGAGAGAGGCATTCACAACGATGCGATATAGAGCTCAAACTTGCTGTTAGATACATTGTCCTTCTTGGAATTGTATTAGTGCATTACATTGATGATAGATTAAATGAAGTATTCTCAATTGTGAACAGGTTGCACGGAGAATGAAGGAGGAAGAAGGTTTCTTTTACCCACACAACCTTGATTTCCGGGGCCGGGCATACCCCATGCATCCACATTTAAACCATCTGGGATCCGATATCTGTAGGGGAATCCTGGAATTTGCGGAGGGGCGACCGCTTGGGAAATTAGGCTTGCACTGGCTTAAGATACACCTGGCAAATCTATTTGCCAATGGTGTGGATAAATTATCTCATGAGGGTCGAATATCTTTTGCTGAGAATCACTTGGATGATATATTTGATTCAGCAGACAGGCCACTTGAAGGGAAGTGCTGGTGGTTGAAAGCAGAAGATCCTTTTCAGTGTTTGGCCACATGCATTAATCTTTCTGAAGCCTTGAGAAGTCCATCTCCAGAGACAACAATTTCGCATATCCCTGTGCATCAGGTAATGTTTTTATGTAACGGGGTGTTTTTTTCTGAGACCTTCACTATATCCCACCGCCTGGTAGAATAAACAAATTGTCTTTAATGGTAATAGCAAGGGTGCTAAAGTATGTTAGAGAGAAAATTGGGGAACGTGCAAACTTTCCTATAGAAATTTTTTAGTTTAGAATGCTAATTGTATTAGTGTCAAAGTTGGTCCTTGGAGTATCGAGCCTGACATACTGGCAGACCAGGTGTTTTATTATGTTGACTTGATCACTATTCTATATCCAGGTGGTGTTTTATGTGTTAAATTGACTTCGTACTCATAATGTTGAATATCTGTACTTTTTTAGTGGCCTTTTATTTTATTGTCTGGAGGTTCTTAATACAATTGCCACAATAATTTGAAAGATTTAAAGTTTTACAGTTTTTTTTCTCGTTTGGATATTGTTAATTGGTTATCCACAAAATTATTTGATTAGTGGGGTTAACAAACACAACTGCACAAGTTCTTCCCCTTGTTTCTTAGTGTGCTAAATTTAATCTAATGCATTGTGATTTTCTAGGATGGTTCCTGCAATGGTTTACAGCACTATGCTGCCCTTGGGAGAGATAAGGTGATGTTCGTTTATCTGTTTTGTCAGTGACCATCTCATCATGCTCTTCCCATGAAATATATTATGGTACAAAAATTGTTTTTGGACGATCAGCAACCTGAATATTGGGTACTGTAATTAGTACAGAAACTGACTCTTTTTGGGTTAAAAAATCTTGATCAACGCAACATACAGAGAATTACTAGTCTTAGATATAAAGAAAACCAATAAAATATTAAGCATCCATTTTTCTTGCTTGATTACTTTCTGCTTAAACTTCTGAACTGCATTGGTAATCAATCACATAAATTAACATCACATGAGATATCCTCTGCTGGAGTGGTTTCTATGTTCTTAGATAGGTGGAAGTTCTTATATTCTTAATAAACTTCATCAGTCCCCTCCCCACCTTTTCTTTCTAACTGGCTCACTAGTTTAAATTCTTAATTCAGTTGGGAGCAGCGACTGTTAATTTGGTTGCTGGAGAAAAACCTGGTGATGTTTACTCAGGAATAGCAACCAGGTAATCTGCTTTTTCACTCAGGTACCAGTAGCTTTTCTATTGTAAATCGTATCTATTTTTTTGAATGAGGTGTGTGTAGCAGGCGAGATATATGTCATCAGGCAAGTTGGTACAGGGACTAAATTGTGAAGAAAAAGTGGAGATTAGGGATTGTTTTAGTTAACTTTGTTTGCATAAATTTCCAATCAAAATTATGAATCCACGGCAGTAAGAAGAGAAAGTTGCATTGATTCTGGCAGGCATCATTTTTATATTCAAATGCATCTTTGAAATCCAATCATTTCAAAAATGGGAAAGAAAAAAAAACAGAAAAACACAGTGATAAAGAAGTGGTTTTTCTTGTTGCTAGCCTGAATTTTTGTTTTGTCGACATGTGAAGTCCTCTTTAAAATACTGGAACAGTTGCTCTTTTTACCTCGACGAAGCATAACTCAACCATCTTTGTCTAGCCATTGGTGATTTTCTTGCTCTATGTAGCTGATAGCAGTGACGTTGGGCAGTACCTCTGATTTTTTCACCTTGGTTTTTGTTGGATATATGATTTTATTGAAAAGGAGATATTGGTTCATGGAGCGGAATAACTGTATAATACAAAAAGTATGGGACACAAATGACCTTTTTAATCCTCCCCTCTTTTCAACTGAACTCACCATGTTTGAGGGTCATTGGATAATTGTGGCCAAGTTTTAACTTCCAACTTCTTACATGGAATGCTTGCTTTCGGCAGAAGCTTGAATGACATATTTGAGACATAATTATTTTGAAAACAAATCTAGCCTGATTACTGAAATCTATAGTGTTAACTAGAACTCCTCCATCACATTATTTTCTCATCTGTGCTAAAGAAATATTTTTATTGAACTATTCTTTAAACTCGATACTTCCATGCAGAGTTCTTGAGATTATGAAGAGCGATGCACTGAAGGATCCTGCAGTATTTCCTGATGCTTTGCGTGCAAGAGCTTTAATCAGTCAGGTTTGATGTCACTGCTTGAATTTATAGTTATGCTTGCATAAAAAATTATATCATATTAATGTCTTGGCAATTGTTTACCTTCATGACATGGAGTTCGATCCTCAAGTTGATGCATTATGAACTCGAATATATTTCATCTAACAATGTTGATGACTGTATTTTCACAAGATTCTATATGATTCATTTGATATTTTACGTTCTACGTCGTTTTTGTCCCCTAGGTACCTTCTAGTTATTTACTGATAATTGGCTCTATATACGAACAATGTTTAGGTAGACAGGAAGTTGGTGAAACAGACAGTGATGACATCTGTGTATGGTGTCACTTATGTTGGGGCTCGAGATCAGATAAAGAGAAGATTAAAGGAACGTGATGCCATTGCAGATGATACAGAGCTCTTTAGTGCAGCTTGTTATGCAGCAAAAGTAAGACTCAGCTTTAGCCCAATTACTTCTTCAGTCAATGAATGTTATTGATAGGCACACTTCTGAAAATAAAATCATTATGGACTACTCAGTGTTGAAGTTATTCACACAGCCCCCTTGTAACTTCTTGCTTGGCTAATTCTTAGTGATTGAAATAGTTGCGAATTTCTGGTACAGCCTTACCAAATGCCAGAAGTATTATAAATTAATTTGCACTAATATTTACCAGATTTAGCTTAGAATGATTTCCCCTAAATCCAACGTGTCCTGCAAAACACCTCTCATGCACACATTTGTATGTGTGGACTGGTAACCTGGTACTCATGTTACTAGGTCAATTTAATGCGGTTTATATGATTACTATGGTGAATATAAAATACTCCGACTCGATGAAATAATGTGTACATTCGGGATCGTTTTCTTGGGCCTTATTGTTCAATACTCATATCTGCTCCTGCATTAATTAGTTTGGAAATTATACTTCTTGATGACATCTGATTTTTTTTATTGATACTTGATAGACTACCTTAACTGCACTAGGGCAGATGTTTGAAGCTGCACGAAGCATCATGAGCTGGCTTGGAGACTGTGCTAAGGTGTGTACTGTAGGTTCACGTATGCAATATGCTTTAACTCGAGATGGTATTTTTGGCAAAATTGTTTGTAAATCTGATGAATTGCCGTATTATGGGGGAACTTATCCCGAAAATCGAAATTCTTGATCAATGGAGGAACAATATCACCCTTTTTGTTCAATAAGATCCCAAAGTGGATGATTGACTCATTCCATACTAGAAATAATCGCAGGAAATCCTTTGATAACACGGATTCCTATTTCTCAATGATATTCCACAATCAAG